AGGTCAACTGCTGTGGTGTGCAATAATATAAATGTTTTTTTGGAGTGTATGATGAAATTTGTTTGGCCTGGAAAAATACTGCGGCATCCGTGATTGCATCAGATTTTCATCACGCCCAGACACTATTGTCTCAACTCTCGATTAGTTGTCCTACGGCCATTGTCTGCGATGGACGTTACTCCAAGGAAGCGTACGAAAAATGTAACGTTGCACGAACACATTAATAAGCCTTAGCAGTGCCCAAATCAAACTGTTATAAACTGGCACGGAACGAATTCGTGGCATGGACATTCGAAGTAATAACTTGTAAACTGGGTCATGTTTCATTGGAAAAATACTTTCATTATGCAAAACCTAAACTTTTTTTAAATTTTAGAATAGTGTAATTTACCCACGCACGCATGGACTTCCACAGCTATAAATAGGAGCAGGTACTGCCTTTTGGAGAGTGAAGTTCCAGCAGTCAGCTCTGACAGTCAGACCGAACATTCTTGCTGTAACACTATCGTTTGTATATGTTTGTATTACTGTTTTCTGTTAAGATATTTGTTTAACTCAATTCATCATTTGTGTCTTTAATTCTGGCCCTAACAACGCCACAATAGATAGGTAAATTTATGACTCACCCGGTAGATATTTTGATAAAATTTTCAGTCTCTACCATCTTGCAAACTAGTAAGACATGCTGGTAAGTGAAAGGTCTGAGGTATGGATCCATGATACAAGTTTCATCGTAGAGAAAGAGATCACGGTATGCTGGTATCACGCTATGGTGATGTAATCGTTCTCATTTCATTTAGTTAGAACCATTTGAAGTGAGCGTTTATTAGGATCGTGGTCATTTTGTTGAACACGTTGGAACAGTGTTAAATGAGTGTTCTTATAAGCGTAGAGCAGGTTCTGGACGGCTAGATAGTGATGACACATGCCAAGGTTGAAGCATTCGCATTGCAACGATGACTGACTGCACGGAACCTAGTGCACTGTCTACAACAGAGGTGGACATATGAATGTCAATATGATTATAGATGTAAGATTTTCTTCGCCAGACTTAACGTAATATTTACATGCTAAATGTTTCTGGGCGTGTGGCGAGCGAATCACAAAGGAGATCGAAGAACTCCGTCTAGGGTTCGATAATGCGTACAACTAATAGTCGTTTGTTTTTGCGATATTGACCTGAGGAGTGATATCTCGCAGAATATTCTTCTTTTATGCGCCGGTCCCTTCACGACGTAGGCGATAATGTCTCTCCATTTCCTCCTGTCTCTTGTAGCTGTCAATAAGCTTTGATATTTTGTTGTTTCTCCCACACCCTTTTCTGATACCCACTTGCTTAAGCCCGTTAACTATGTCACGCTTTGCCATCCCTTGTCCTTATTTCCCTCTGTTCGCCTTGTGAGTATCAGATTTTCTAAGCCCTCATTACGTGTCCCAGAAATTTCAGCTGCCTCTTCCTGGTGTTAAGTATAAGTTTCTTTTTTGTTTGCATCCTCTCCAAAACCTCACATGTTTGGTTCGTGGTATCCTCAGCATCCTTCTGTAGAACCACACCTCGAATCTCTTCTTCATCTTTGAGGAGATCTTCCAGCATTCTCTGTCATAAAAGAGGACAGATATCACGTAGCAGTTAGGCACTCTTTTCTTTGTTACCAATGAAATCCTCCTGTTTCGTAATACTCTGCCTAGCTTTTGGAATGCGTTTTGCTCATTCCAATACTTCTTCGGATCTTAGCGTCGCACTTGCCATACTCTGTAAGAAAACTTCCCAGACTGAACCAAAACAAGAAGCCTCAACGTTTGACATCACAGTGTTTGGGAAACATGAAATAAAATCACTCACTGAGTTTTTTTTTATCCTTGGGGTGAGAACGAGGGACATCAACAAATATACTATTTACATTATTCGGACTATTGTCCTCATCTTTGACGCCATATTTATTACACCGTTTCGGCCGTTGTACGCTACGGCCTTCTTCAGGTGGTTGGAATGTCGAACTGAACCCTTTATTTCGCTTCCTGGATCTAACTAATGCCTTTATCCACTGGGCCATAAAAAGACAGATATCAACAATTAAACTATTTACATTATTCGGACTATTGTCCTCATCTTTGACGCCATATTTATTACAACGTTTC